AGCCAGGTTGGCTGAGTTTCTGCTGTTCACCGTTACGCCGCTCTGCTTCCAAGCTCCCCCTGAGAGAACATCGCTTGTTGCAGCGATGCGGGCGATAGCAGGTCTCCTGACAGGCGCCTGGCTGACAGCGTTGGCTTTCGCGCGGACAGACGATTGCTCGGGCAACGACAATTACGATACAAAAGATGACGAGCAGGCTCTCCTTCAGCGCATGCATCAAACGATCTTGCAGCACAAGACTGGCCAGACGGCTAAAACTGCCGGCGCTGCTGCTTGGACCCTTGCGACCAGCAGGGCCACCTCGAGTGCTATGTGGGCAGAGGCGGCGGCGGCGGCACCACCAGAGGCTGCGCCAGCCTCGAGAACATGGGCACCCATTTCACCATCGACGTGGACGTGGGCACGTTTGCCCAGAGGTTCAGCGTCGCCGCGGACACCGGGAGCAACTCACTGATCGTCCCGTCGTGCGTGTGCGAGGGCAAGGGCCAGTGCAGCAAGAAGGACCAGTGCTTCCGAGGCACGAACAAGTCCTCGACCTTCTCTCTGGAGGTGGACGAGGAGGAGAAGCTGGTCTCCATGGTCCTGTCCTTCGGCAGCGGGCAGATCCAGGCCATTGTGGCTCAGGAGCAGGTGAGCGGTGGCAAGATCTCCCGGCACCTCGGCCTGCTGCTGATGAGGGATCGCGCCTTGCAGATCTCTGGGCCCTTCGAGGGCATCCTGGGCCTGGGCTTGCCCCGGCCGGCCACGAACTGGACGCAGATCGAGGAGCAGGAGCAGGCCGCGGCCGATTCCAGGGCGGCGGCAGCATGCAGGACATCATCCAGCCGATCCTGGGCCATGCGAACGGCGCTGGATAGGCCGAGACGGCGATCCCGGGCCAGGTGATGCGCAAGATCCTGGACACGGCCGCGGCGAACGCCAATAGCACTACGGCGAGCGCCACGGCTTTGAAGACTCACAAGCCACATCACCGCGACTCGCTCAAGGGGTTCCTTGAGCAAGTAAACATCCCCCGCTTCTCGATGTATTTCAACGACGGCGCGGCCGGCGTCCTGCGCATCGGGGGGGCGCCCATGGGCAATGGCAGCCACGGGGGCCCGGGCACCGCGCGCCTGGGGCGCCGCTTTCCGCGGCACCTCTCCGTGGGCAGTGCGACTGCCACGCCCGTGGACTTCTGCCGCGACTCGGACATGGCCGAGGGCCAGAAGCCGCCGTGCGGGGCCATGCCTGACTCCGGCGCGGCCCTGCCGATGGGCCCCGCTCCGCAGATCGGGAAGCTGCGCGCCGCATGGAGGGGGCCCCGCGCAAGCCGAACGTGGACTACAGCCAGCCCCTCTGATTGGGGCAAGGGCCTGGTCCACTGGCCGCTCTATTTCTTCTGTGCCGTCTTCAAACAAGGCGTCCTCGAAGGTAGGCGGTCTTGTGTACCCGAGTCTTTACCTTCGCTAGAGGTTGGCAAAGGGAGGGGGTCGTGTCTGTTGAAGGGGGTGGGTGAGGAATTCCTCTGCTTCCATTTCTCCCAGCGCGCTGGTGTATTCTGTGGCGTCGCGGACCGCTTCAGTCTCTTCGTGGCACCAGAATCCCGTGTCAGCGGTTGCGCGTTGATTGTTCGATCGGAGTCGATGTGGAGACGCAGTTCTTTTGCTCCTCCTCCTCGCCATCCTCCTACTCCCTCGTCTCTCTGCTCATGCACTACCTGGCCTGCCATGTGCTGCACTAATCGCCGGCCGCCGAGTTGCAGCAGGTCCCGCGTGCCGACAGAGAACTGCTGCGTGCCCCGCGGGGAAGCGGGGAAGCCGCTCGGCGCTCTCAGCGCCTGCCGGGACGCCCCGAGAACGGGGTGCCGTCCGCCGCCTGCATTGACACCACCACGCCCAGCACGCGCGGGGGACGCTGCGGAAAGTGAGCAGGGCTAGCTCGTCTAGGGGTGAGCAGGAGAAAAGGGCAGCCCAACGCCGCTTGGACGCCGCGACGCCAGCGCAGGCGTCCGAGGTTTAACACCTTCCTGGGGCTCGACAGCCCCCGGCGCGAACCGTCTCCTCCTCCGAGCTCCTCCCCCTCCCCCCTCGGAGGAGGAGGGGCGGGAGGAGGACTCTGCGCCTCTTCTGATCGTCCTCGTCTCCTGCCGAGCGAACCAGCGGCGCTGTGCAGAACGCCGCCCTTCGCAACAGAGTCACCTGGCTTTCCGGCCCTCACCGGCCTGCCACAAGTGGCCGATGGAGCTTGAACGTGCCGCTGAAAGGGGAACTCCTCTCCCTTTCTGTGGTTTTTCAATGCCCCGACGGCCCTGTCGGCTAAGAGAAGCCGCTGCCGTTGCATCAGGGACCACTGGGCAGGAGAACCTTGGATCTGCTCGCGCAGCTGTCTCTGCCGAGGAGGTTCTGGCCAGGGTTACGCTGCACACGAAAAATTACCAAAACAAATCTGCTCTTCGGCGCCTTCCTAATTCAATGATCGAGTGGCCTCACCTTCTCCGTCCTTTCTCGGGGGCGGGCGGACACCCAGTCCATTTTCTACGCCTTCCCACTTCATGTTTCTACCTACTTCTTCCGACCGATGGGCACTGTTCTTCGCGCTTGCTGGGCGTGCCCGTGCATTGTGGGGGACGGTGCCGTCGAAGGTTCTTCGGTTGGGCCGGCGCAGGGCCTCATGTTCTTGACTTGGCATCGCTCGGACGTGTGCGTCTTTTCCTCGGCGAGGACCATCGAGGAGCATTCTTGATCACTTGGCGAAACAACCACGCACGAAGCCGAACAAAAACACAGGGAATGGACGTCCGAGCGACGGCAAGTTGAAGGAGATTATACTGTGCCCCAGGCCCAGCTGTAGCACGCCGAGAAACTCACGGGGGCCGGCCCGGGGAGGAGCACTGACCCACAGTCGCGCAGCCCTCGTCGACGTCGGCCTCTCCCACAAACCTCCCTTTCCGTCCGTCGGCTAGTCGCAGAGGGGGACTTGGAGAAGGTTTCCAGGCGCCTTCCCCGGAGACAGACGATTTCTCAGAAGGCGCGAGGGCTTCTGAGAAGCCCCGCCGCCTTCCGAGAAGGCCTCCCCCTCCTCATCTCCCTCCCTCGCTCGCCGCCAAATCCTGGACCAGCCGGCAAGAGAAGGGCACGCGCGACGCCGCACGATGCACGGGGAGCAGGCGTCCGAGCGAAGGCAAGTGGCCGCCAGCAGCCGAAGGCGGCCTCCTCCTCCTCCTCCTCCTCCTCCTCCTCCTCCTCCACCTCCTCCGCCTCCTCCTCCTCCTCCTCCTCCTCCTCCTCCTCCTCCTCCTCCTCCTCGGCGACGAGAGGGGGCCTGGGAAACAGATGGCCCTCCGGATGGCAGCATGCGGCCAAAGGCTGCCTAGAGACAACCCGATCCAGGTTGTCGTTTGCCCTGCGGGTTCGTTTTGTGGCTCCCAGGCCAACTCTCCCTCGGGGTGTGGCCTCGTCCTCCGACGGCGGCGGCGGCCACGATGGCCGGCTGCGCGGCCACAGCGACGGTCACGACGGGGGCCATGACGACGACCACGACGACGAGTACGACGACAGCGGCGACGGTTGCGGCAGTGACGACGGCGACGGCGAAAACCACGGCGTCGACGACGACGACGACGACGACGGCGTGCCGAGGCTGCCGACGCCCTCGTCGAGGGGTTCAGGCCCGGCGTCATGGAGAAGCTGGGCCTGGGCCCCGAGCCCTGCCTGGCGCGCAACCCGCGGCTCGTGTACGGCAGGATGACCGGGCGGCCCGGGGGGGTTCGAAGCTCGGGGGAGAGAACAGCGGGGGCCCATGCCAAGGAACACCTTGGAGGAGGAGGAGGAGGAGGAGGAGGAGGAGGAGGAGGAGGAGGAGGTGGAGGTGGAGGTGCAGGAGGAGGAGGAGGAGGACCAGGGTAAAGCCCAAGAGTCACCAGCGATGTTGGAATAAACCCTCCCCCCAAGCTCCCTCTTCACAGGCCCCTACAACCGTTCATTTCCACAGAGGGACCTCCCTCGTTGGAAGACAACCGATTGAAGACCCTGAAGCATGCCAAAGCATTATTCTCGGTATTCCAACGCCACGGGTGAACCTGAGTGTGGCGTCGTGACGATCCTGAATTGTGCCAGAATGCTATTCTTGGGACCTCAACTCCGCGAATAGTCCTAAAAGTGTTGCGCCTTCAAAATCGTGAATCCTTCCAAAACACGATTGCTGGTACGTCGATCATGGGAATCCGTGAAACTCTTGCAATATTGTATTCCGAATGTGCGCCGCGCTAAGGCGAGAGCCACATTTTGAAAAGGAGCCGCCTTCAATCCGTGATATTCTTGCAACTGTTTACAGCGAATGTGCGCGGCGTTGAGGCGAGAGCCACATTTTGAGAAGGAACTGCCCTAAATCAGTGAAGCGACTGCAAATTTTCAAAACGGATGTGCGCGGCGCTAAGGCGAGAGCCACATTTTGAAAGCCACCCGCCCTCAATATGTGAAACTCTTGCAACTGTTCAAAATGAATGTGCGCGGCGCTTAGGCGAGAGTCACATTTTGGAAAAGACCCGCCCTCAATCCGTGAACCGATTGCAAATTTTTAGAACGAATGTGCGCGGCGCTAAGGCGAGAGCCACATGTTGAAAACCACCCGCCCTCAATCCGCAAAATTCTTGCAAATTTGTAAAACGAATGTGCGCGGCGCTAAGGCGAGAGCCACACTTTGAAAACCACCCGCCCTCCATCTGTGAAACTGCTGCCAATGTTTAACCTGCAGGGTCATAAATGGTGAGGAAGTCTCAGGCGAAACGCCCGGCCCGCCCTGGAAACTGGCCTCGGGGTGCGACAGGGAGAAATTACTTTGAAGGAGGAGGAAAGGAGGAGGAGGAAGAGAAGGAGGATGAGAAACAGGAGGAGGAGGAGGAGGAGGAAGAGGAGGTGTAAGAGGAGGAGGAGGAGGAGGAGGAGGAGGAGGAGGTGGCTGCTCGCCTCCAGGGTGCCCTGGGTTTCTTGGGTTTCAAGGGTCTTGCTGTGGAAAGCGTGGCGTTCCCACCCCCAAAAATCCATGGACGCCCTGGGGTCTCAGGGTTGGGTTTCTCGTGGGAGGTTTCTTGTGGTCGGGCCCCTACGGTGTGGCCTTCTGATCGTCGAATGGGGAGGGGGTGAGGAATGTGTCGTTGGTCCTCTGAGGTTTTCTCGCCTCGGCCAGAGGAGCCCCGTCGTTCCTTCTTCAGCGCCCCTTAACGGCGGCACGATGGCTGCACGGCCCTTGCCTCCCCGTCCCTTCGGACGACGTCGACGACGCCGACGGCGAGGACGACGACGACGACGACGGACGATGGACGACAGACGACCGACGACGACGACGACGACGACGACGACGACGACGACGACGACGACGACGACGACGACGACGACCGACGACCGACGACCGACGACGGACGACCGACGACGACGACGCACGACGCACGACGACGACTACGGACGACAGCCGTCGACGGACGACGACAACAACGACGACCGACGACCGACGACCGACGACTGACGACCGAGGACGGATGACGACGACGGGCGACGACGACGACGACGACGCACGACGACGACGACGACGACGGACGACAGCCGACGACGACGACGGACGATGACGACGACGACGACGACGACGACGACGACGACGACGACGACGACGACGACGAGGACGAGGACGACGACGACGACGCAGAGCTCACATGTTGCTTCTGGGATCGTTGTGCCTTGCTGGTCTCGCGGTGTGCGCCCGCGCCCTGGGCTTTGGGACGGGCCTGGGCGCCATGCCTGCCTTCTTCCCCACCCACCTGTGGTTTTGGTTCCCTGGTTTGGAGAGAGATCCCGCGACTCCGCCTCCTCCTCCCCATCTCCTCCTCCTCCTCCTCCTCCTCCTCCTCCTCATTCTCCTCCTCATCTCCTCCTCCTGCTCCTTCTCCTTCTCCTTTTCCTCCCGCTACCCCCTTCACTTTGGCACACCCCTCACGCGCTTCGTGGCCCCAGAGGGAGCTCCACGGAAGGCCGCAGTTGCTTGCGCTCGCATGCGCCCGCCGCGCTCATTTCGACACACCCCTTCACACGCTTCGTGACCCCCGTAAGGAGCTCCACCGAAGGCCCCCGCCGCGCATGCTTACACGCGTCGTGGCCCCATAGGGAGCTCCACCGAAGGCCCGAGTGGCTGCGCTCGCATGCGCCCGCCACGCCAATGTTGGCAAACCTCTCACGCGTTTCGGGGCCGCAAACGTATCTCCACCGAAGGCCCCAGTGGCTGCGCTCGCATGCGCCCGCCGCGCCTATTTCGGCAC